CTAGTTCTACTAGTCTAGGAATTCCATTTGTAACCACCTGATTACACCTTCAGGTCACTCAATCAAGTCCGGTGGTAAGGTCTCATCGTAACTAACAAAACGAACCCAAACTCGGCACACCTAGTTCTACAAGTCTAGGAGTTCCACTTGTAATCACTGAACTACACCTTCAGGTCACTCCATCAAGTCCGGAGGTATGGACTCGTCATAACTAACAAAACGAAGCCCAAATTCGGCACACCTAGTTCTACTCGTTCAGAAATTCCAGCAGTAGTTACTGAATTACCCCTTCAGGTCACTCTATCAAGTCCGGTGGTAAGGTCTCATCGTAACTAACAAAACGAACCCAAACTCGGCACACCTAGTTCTACCAGTCTAGGAGTTCCAGTTGCAATCACCGATTTAGACCTTCAGGTCACTCCATCAAGTCCAGAGGTATAGACTCGTCATAACTAACAAAACGGAGCCCAAATTCGTCACCCCTAGTTTTACTCTGCAAGAAGTTCAAATAGCGGTCACGAAAGTACACCTTCAGGTCATGCCATCAAGTCCAGAGGTAAGGTCTCATCATAACCAACAAAACGAGCCCAAACTCGGCACACCTAGTTCCGCTCGTCCACGAGTTGCAGTAGTAGGTAAGTTTATATATCCTACTTATTTTTAGCTAAATAAAAACTGTGAGTATAAAAATAATAATTTTATCACTTGTCAAGTACTTATGTTTCCAATTTGTTTTTTTCTAATATTTTGTGTATGTACAGCGATCTTTTCAGAATGAGCCGCTGCAAACAGGCGATACAGTGTCCACTCACGACGGCGGCCGAGCGCGGACTGTGGTTTCATCGAAATCTTTGTACAATAAATCAAAGCAGGCACCAACAATAAAATAGCCCTTATTGCAATACATTATGATTCATCCATATTACCAAAATATGTGAAAAAATGTGCATCAGTTTTTATTTTTTTTACGACTATTTGTGACATTTTGTTAAAAAATAAACCCAGGGTTTTTTAATTGAATATGTCTGTCATCTTATAGTATTTTTTAAATTTTTAAATATGTTGATAATAGACCAAAACATCTACCGAAACACAAGCCGGTATCGTTAATTTTGTAGAAAATGGCAACGAAAGTTCGTTTTTACAATATAAAAAACTACTATTTTCAACAAAAGAGTTACAGACATTTGCAGATGAAGAACCAATCTATACATGGTAGTTTTTACTTATATTTGATTTGGTTTAGTTTTGTCACAAAATTTACCGAAAAACACCCTAATTTTGGTTGATTTGCAAACGCGTCCTTAAGTACTAGAACAGCTATCTCAAACAAAAAATGTGCGCTACTCGTTCCGCGCGGTTGGTTTTTTTATTATAGAATAAACATAGGTAGAATGATCCGTAGGTAATAGTAGATTGTATTGTTAAATAGGTAAATTATATCGTAAACAATATTTAAATTTTGTCATTTATTTTGTATATTTTATTTGCTTATTTAATATATTACATAATATTATATCACAATTACATTTTAATTATATTTTTATCTGAATATCTTAAAAGGTATCTATGGCAAATATAAAAAAACATACTGAATGTATGTTTAACAAACTTATTAACATAACATTTAAATTACAAATAAATGTATTTAAATTGGAATAAGAGTCGTTCATAAATGCTGGGCACGCGATATTTAAAAATGGACGAATTTATTCCACTTTGACTTTGATGTAGAAACCTAAAAATAAAATAAAAGAATAATAAGCAGAACATGAAAATTTAGCCTAATTATAATAACTTATATATGTTTCTACAAAAAAATTGTGTATAATAATATATTCGTCCTATACTTAAATGCCCACAGAAATGTCGTATCTGAACATATTAATTTTATAATCTATATTCCATGACACGAGATGGCGTCTTAGAAATAATTTGTTTTATTATTAATCTATAACACTTTTTTATTCATTAAGTATCCTATTAACCGATGAAAAGTAATTCCTTGGTTTTTACTGACATTTCTTGAATTATTTGTGCAATATCTAAGTACACACGACGGCATATTTTTATCAAGAGATTTTTTTTAAATCAACACAACACGTGACAACTCTACAAGCGTCCTGCGAGTGACTAATTAAAGTGCGGTGTAAGCACCGCAGTTGAGTGGAACAGAGTAGCTGAATGCAGTGTCGCCTCTAGTACGTAGTACATTGTGGCCGTAGAAGGAAAAGAGGTGATCTCCCGCCGGGCAAGGTGTTATGCTCGGGGAGCGGCCAACGCTCCATGTGATAGTTCGGAGATGTTCTATATATACTGTTTATGATTCGTATTGTTGATAGCGCGATTTAGGCTTCGGTGTGTTTTCGCTTGTGGCGCGACGACAGCGCCGCCACATCACCCCCCTGCTCAGACCGGAGGTCGATAGTGCAGTCTCGTTGTCGACGAATGTGCAAGTGCCACGAGATTGCCTTGTAGTCTGCGGTGAGTCGAGAAGAAGGCAAGTAAATCTTGCGAGAGTGTCGTGAAGCAGAGGCGAGCAGTAAGGCTCAGAGCCGTGCCGAACACTGTATAGCGCAGAGAGTAGCTTGAAGGAACAGGAAGCATTATTATTCCAGTGCTGCGATGAACTTTGTGAAGCTAGATGGCTTGCAGGATATGAAGACTGCAGACGATATCTGCTCGGGAGCGAATGGGTGGGGGGGGGGTATTCTATGACGATGATGAAGCTTGAAGTTTCCGAAGGTTGTTTGGTTGCGTGTTCAGATGACGTCGGATGGTCAACACTGTGGCCGTGAAAGGAAAAGGGGAGATCTCCCACCGGGCAAGGTGTTCTGCCCGGGGAGCGGCCAACACTCCGTGTGATAGTTCTGAGATGTTCTATATATACTGTTTATGATTCGGAATGTTGATAGCGCGATTTAGGCTTCGGTGTGTTTTCGCTTGCGGCGCGACGACAGCGCCGCCACAACATAATAGCTCAATGTATTATACAATATAAGGACAATCGGTAAAAATATTGTCTGTCTGTCATCTTTCCGATAGGTTAAAAATTTAAAAACCATTAGAGCTACTTGTATACTTGTATTGTATATCACATATGTATCAATTTAATTGATTAAAAACTCACGGAATGAATAATTAATTTTTTTTTCATAATAAGTTTACAAACGCAATAATAATCATCATCATCATTACAGCCCTTCACAAGTCCACTGCTGAACATAGGCCTCGTTTAAGGAATGACACAAAGCACGGTCGTGAGCCTATTACTACTAGTTGGACTATTTGTATTAGGTAAACATACTCGCCAATAATATCGAGCTAGTGCCCCAAGCAACTACCGGCATAGGTGTGACATAGACGTTACACATGATCTTTGTTTTGACAAAAACAAACATGGACACATGGACAATACAGTTTCCCCGCAAAGTCTGCTTTGCAATGACCATAAACAAATCACAAGGGCAAACATTAAAATTTGCGGGTTTAGAGTTGAGAAAGAATGTTTTTCACGCGAACAATTCTCTGTGGCTTGCTCACGCGTAAGCTCGCCCAGTAGTCTGATAGTTTTGGCACACAGGAAAAATGTGGTGTATAAAGAAGTTTTGTAGTTTACTAGTTTTTGCCCGCGACATCCAGTTATAATTGTGGCTTGTACCAGCAGACTATTTTTCACACATGGGCGCGATATAACCGAACTCCACGCGGACGAAGTCGCGGGCAAAAGCCAGTTTATATATAAGTTTAGAGGTTAGTTTATAAACTATCGGAATCATCTAATAACTTTACACAGGAAAATACTAAAGCTCTGGCTAGAATTACTAGTAATTTTTAATAGTATAAATATTTACGAGTATGTTCTTTTAGATAAGAGTATCAGTTAATTTAATTTTATGAGTCTTTCTACTTCGAAGCGCACAATTGTGACAGGAAATCAATACATAAATTTGTGACGGGATTTAAGGATTTGTCAGAAGCCTTGTTTTATCTGATAACTTGCATTATTATCCTCGGCCCAAAATTATAAAAACTGAAAGCAAACAGTTTCAAGCAACCCGTTCGGAAGCGAGGTGAGTGTTGTTAGTTTGTGAAATAGTGATCTGTATGAAGGGTTTATTTGGAAAATTTAAGGTATAACTTTTACACAGATTAGTATTTCGGATAGTTATCAAGTATCCTAATCGAATATATATATATATATATATATATATATATATATATATATATATATATATATATACGCACGTTATGAAAAATAGATGGGTAGTAAAATCAAGCGTTAACAAAACTGAATCCGTTATGGTTTGTCTCCGCGCAACATATTCGCGCATCTCACATTAATATAATGGATAATGAAAAATAAATAAATAATAATAAGTAAAAGTCATTGATTTTTAAATTGTGTCATAAATATATTTTGTGTAATATATTTTATCAAATCAATATAAATAAGTATATGGGTTCATTTACTTCTTTTGCTTTTATTTTACGACAAAAGTTTTTCATAAGTAAACTCCAGTCACGCGTCGGCGCTGTCATGCACTTTTTTTCCATGATTTATTTTCTTATTACTTTTACTATTATTTGTGAAAGAAATGTAACTGTGTAAAATTGTGGGAGAAATAAATGTTTATTATTATTATATTATATATTTCGCTATTGCACGCATGTATTATTATTATCGTCATCGGTAGATACATAATATATACATGTAGCCAAAAGCGGCTAAAAGCGAATAAATTCTGCGCATGCAGGCTGCTGAGCGCAAGTGATTTTACTAGTGATTATACTCACCATATCACCAGAGGGTTCAGCACTTTGGATAGATTTTCAAGTTATGTTGACTTTAAGAAAAAAATAATTAATAAAATTCGCACATTCGTTTTTGTAGTATTATTTGTACTTGAAACATAATTAGGTTCTTAAGTATTTTAGTATAAGACGCTTTATATTTTTCACTAAGCTTTTTATTTTAATTTTAGACAAATTAATCAACCATGAAAACGTTCGTCACTCTACTCGCCTTGTTGGCCGTCGCTGTTGCCAACCCCTTGCCACTGGTACAGATCTTTGTAAATATTGGCGGCCAAACCAGCATCATGGAACCAGGCTTTCCAGCCATTGACAGACCAACCCCCGAGTCTGTAGTAGTTGTTCCTGAGCCAGTTATCCTCCCAGAACCTGTACTTCCTGGGGGCGTTGCTTCTGAACCGGCAGAACTACCTGAAGCTGTACTTCCAGAAGTTGTAGTCCCTGTACCACTTCCGGCTCCTGCACTTCCAGAAGTTATTGTACCTGTGCCCGTGATTGCCCCTGAAAATATTAATTGAATCTTAGAGACAAAAGAAAATGGAGTAGAAAATTAATTTAAAATTGAACATTGCAGATAATAGGCACATTCTACATAATATATGTTTTCTTAAAGACCAGTTTATACTCTAAAAACATTTGGACAGAATGACAAATAAGTAATAAATTTTACTATAAAGTCATTAGTTTTTTATGTGTTGATTGTACACATGTACATTGTTACCCAAAGTGCATCATATCTACAGTTTTTTCAAAGTCTACTGTTAGAAATAGGCCATTTCAAGAGTGCGCCAATAACTAGTATGTAAGATTTGCCCATATTTACCGGACAGACTTGAGTGGCCATTAATGTAGGTAGTGCTTTGTAAAGTTTGGGTTTATTTTTATATGAATTGATATATCTTCAGCTGATGACGACTTTGCAAAATAAGTTGACATATTCCTGCCTACTCCGCGAATTGAACGTAATATGAAGGAATACGCAGTACAGGCTACTCGTATAATCTAGAACTGTCAATTACCTTTTTTCTCACGTTGGAAACTTCGCAGAGGAGGGCCTATAAACTGTGTGTAAGTACGCATGACTCATGCGTGCCTAGGCGATGACGTCGTGTCTGCCTCAAGGGTTGAATGAAAGATAAGCGCCAGTCGCTTGCTGTTTTTGCTGGATAACAACGTACCGATATAAGCTTTGAGTATTTTCCTGTATAGTAGGTGCTATTTTTAGTCTTAAAAATGATGTAATTAATTGGTATTCAGTTTTGCTGTCCTCTTCAGAATACAATATTCTAATGTAAATAAAAAAGCCATTCTAATGCAAATAAAATCTAAAATTTCTAATCCCGCCGTTAAATTTAAAGGAATTTAGCCGATGCCATTCTTCTCCCGCATGTTGCAAAAAAGACTAAGGAATTTTAGGCAAAGTATGCGACGATAGATTCGCAGTCTGTCTCTACTTTTTGCATGCTTGTATTAGCTTGGCGTGTATGTAATGGAATCTTGCAATAAAAACATCTGATTAACTTTAAAATTAGCAGACGTTTTGAAAATCGATAAAAAATACTTGATTTAACAAACACAAAAGAAACAAAGAAAAGCCGCTTTCATCATATCATGGTAGAGGCACGCTATATTATGGTTGTAGCACGAATGGGTCAGCTCGACCGGGGAAGGACCACGCTCTCGCAGAATACCAGCGTAAAATAGCAGCTTAATGAGTATAGAGGAACCGGAGATTTTTTTGAGCGAGGCATTCCATATTAGAACTCAGGGGTGACAATGCATCTGCGTTTTGATTCTTAATCGAGGATAAATGTAGATGTCTATGGGTCACAGCATCCATGTACCATCAGGTGGACTGTGTGCTCGTTTGTCACCCTTATTCCATAACAATAAATCCAGATTAACCGTTACATAGAGTCAGGTTAATTCAATTAAATTTTATTTCAAAAAAACCCAAGGGAGATATTATTTACTACATAATATGATAAAGACAATTTAAAAAAAACTAGACGTAAATACCAAGACCGATGACCGGAAGCAGAGTCAAAGGTGCAAGACATCTGGCACTGAGATTGTCAAACCGATCGCCACGTGTAATTTAAGTAATTAAGATATTAAACCAAATCTTCTCCTTATCGGGAGAACCTCTTGTCTAGCCATCGACTTTTAGGGGCTGATTGTAATTATTTTATTTTATTTTATTTTATTTATTAGGTTCTCCATCAGTTATAACACGATACATTTGAATAAAAAAAATACAAGTTCCAACACGTCTTAAGCTAAGTGCATAACTAATTATAGGGTAACACACATCGTGCGTTTAATAATAATAAGTTACCTCTATGTAAAAGAAAAATAATTAAACCTATTTTAAGTTATTTTTAACAAATTGCAGAAGATATTTTTTTGTTTATATTAAGTCCCTGATCTGCTTACGAAAATGTTCAGAAAAATCAAAATTAAAATATAACAATGTGCTGTATTCATAGTAATGATTAATTATAACAGCCTTTATTACCTTTTTTTTTTACATGGGGAAATGCCTACGCATACCCGCCTCGCGGGGGCAAGGACGGGTTATGTCGGACTCGCACTGACTAAAACCCCATGGTGTTCCACCTTTGTCGCATATTGGCAGGGCTACGGGAACGCTTTCGCACACATCCGCGGCCCTACTAGCGCCTGCAGCCCCATGGCAGCACCTCCTCGGGAGAGGAAAATTCCTCCCCGTTCTCCTTCCCAGGTTAGGCGTACCAGAACACATGGCGCGCCTTCCTCCACGGCCTCCAATTACGTCTGTGCAACAGACGCCCCCGCGTCCGATGCACAAAGGCCATGGGGCCAGGAAAAACGAGCACTTAGAAGTACTAGCCTTCCCGACCCCAGCGGCGGATCTGGTCTATGGCTCCGCCGCCAACCAAGATTCGGCTGCGGAGGGTAGGGAGAGCGGCGCCTCGCAATACCGACAATCCTCTCCCCCCGCAGCCCCACCACCACCGCATCAACGGTGCGGCCCCGTTTGAGTCGCGAAGGATAGGGCGAGTGGCGCATCGCCATACCAACACTCCTCTTCCTCCGCGACTCCACCTCGGCTGCAGCGGTAGAGGGTGCGCGAGTCCCCACTCGCTGCAGTCCACCAGCACACATCCAAAGTGGGCTCCCCAAGCCCGCTCGGAGTGGCCACCTCAGGCCGGCCCTTCACCTCGGGCCAGCCACGTGGGTTCCTCTTTGTTCACCGTGGGAGCCCAAGCCCCGGCTACTAAGCCCCCTCGCCACGACAAGGCGGGAACCCGTTCGGGGGGGGAGCCTTTATTACCTTAAGATGCGCTTAACGCATGTACAAAAATTGATTGACCCTGTAGGCCATCTCTGCAACTTCCCGGTAATTTCAAATGCAAAGCGCTCCAAATTTTACCAAATTATGATGTTTAATATGAAATATCGGAGTAATTAAAAAAATCAATTTTACAAAAATGTTCTTCTTCGATATATCATGAACGGATAGATCAGAAACAGAAACAGAAACTTTTTTCATTCAATGTTGATTATAAACAATACTTAATGAAAGTCAATTTTTTCATTTACCACTGGTTCGCAAAAAAAACCTCTGTTCTGGAAAGAACCAGCAAGAAACCCAGAGGGACTATTTTTTTTTTCAAATAATAGCTTCCAATCATGTTTACAATTAACAACATAAGACAAATTAGAAATAGCTTGGTAGCCATCACCCTTCCCAGGGGTTATTATCATCCATAAATTCCTTAATATTATAATAACCCTTCTTATAAAAACTTAGTTTAATAAAAATTTTGAACTTTGCGTATGACAAATTTTGTATATTTTCTGGGATTTTGTTGTAAAAGCGTCATACATCGCCCCAAGAATGAATTACTGACCCGGTGGAGTCGAGTAACTGGTACTACTAGCTTGTGCCTGTTCCTAGTATTTACAGAATGAATACCACTTATATTTGCAAAACTACGTTTATTCTTGTGTACGTACATTACATTTTCATAAATGTATTGAGAGGCCAGAGTTAATATACTAATTTCCTTTAATTTTTGTCTCAGTGACTCTTTTGGTTTTAAATTATATATTGCTCATGGCTCTCTTCTATAAAATAATGTAATTTCAGTGTCAGTCACACACACACACACAAGTACACGCACACGCAGCACGCACGCACGCACGCACACACCACGCACGCACGCACGCACGCACGCACACACGCACGCACGCACACACCGAGCACACAATACACACACACGCACACACGCACACACTCACACACGCACACACTCACACACGCACACACCCACGCACGTATACACACGCGCACGCGCACGCGTACGCGCACGCGCACCCGTACGCGCACACGTACACGCACACACGCACGCACCCACTCACACACGCACACACCCACGTACGCACGCACGCACGCACGCACTCACGCACGCACGCACGGCACGCACGCACGCACACACACATGCACGCACGTACACACACACATACACACACACACACACACACACTCACACACACACATACCCAGACACATACATACATCCGTACGGACGTCTACGTGAAATTAGTCAGAATAGCTTCCTGGGATCTCAACACATCGAGATCTGATGAAAACTCGTTTTTCGAAAATCAGAGTGAAACCAATTACTTCCCTATTTTTGAAAATTTTCAATTTTCTTAGCGGGAAGTTAAAAAAGTAAAGTTTAAAATGGTAAGAACACTATTAGCTTATAAACTGAAGTGTTATAGCTGGGCAGGGCGCTCACCATATATTTCATAGTACACAAGTAGGTAGCCTATTTTCAATCCCGGCTGTACCCATTGAAATTGCTAATAGCAATTTTACGCGATGATTAACCGTCGGATATAATTAAGTATGGTGGTTAAGGAAAACATGGTGAAGAAACCTGCATGTCTTGGAAATCATTTTGAAAACATGTGCTAGGAAGTACCTCCTTCTCACGGGTTCAGTTAAGTATACTTCATACAGAATGAGTGGTCAGTAATTATATTTCTGAAATTACTTAAACTTTATCATTATTTTTTTTTGATTATACATGACGTTTATAATATAACACCCGACATTATTTTCAAACCCGAATGACGTCATAGAAGCAAGATTCACTTCGCTGTCTCGAGGCGCATACCTGCAACTGGTTCTCGGAACGCTCTCTCGCTTCCATGAAGTTTTTATTTTTTTTTGTGCACCTGCTCTTATTCGGACCTTCCTATTTAATTGTTACCCCGTAGCGAATGAGACCATTTATTACCGTGACAATCTATTTTTGTTTGTACACGTCTTATTTTCTGTAAGTAATTACAGGGTTGACGTACATACTCGTATTGTTGAATGCGTTGTAAATAACGTTACAATTTGCGGGTCACTTACGATAAGTATTAACAATTTACATTCAAGTAGTATTGTGTGTACTTAATTATATTTAAGTTGACTGCCTCGTTGATCCAGTAGTCGTTAGCGCGACTGTGTTCATGA